GCAAGAGATTGCACAATTGTCCTGGACATAAAAAAAAAAAATCTATCACTGAGTTTAAAATAACAACTACCCCAAACAACCTAAATTCCATAGCTTCTCTTTTACACCCATACTACTTTACTCATGAATACCATACCTGTTATCATAAATACAAGATTTCCTGGATGCATAGCATGCTATTGGATTGAGCCAGGACATGTGGTGATGCGGAAGGGTTTATTGTAATTTATGTAAATTAATCCAGAATACATAATTTGCCAGGCCTGATTCCTCTTTCATTGTTCTGCCAGCAAAAGTTTTCATGACTTGAAAGAAGTGCATTCACTGCTTTTTCCGAGCCTCTTAATTTATCCTTTGAAATGACAAAAGCCCCTCATGTCATTATTTGTCTATGTGCTTCAGTCAAGGTTTTCAAAGTACTTTCCAAACACAAAGACATCCCTATCTTTGTTCCCAAACTCAGGTATGGATGGAATCAATTTTCTCAGGAAGAAAACAAAACAAAACACCAAAGCTGTTTAAAGTCTTTCAAGTGCTCCGGGAAGCAAATTTAGAAAAAACAAAACAAAACACAAGAGTAAAACTCTCCCTTGGGTTATTCATTTGGGGGCTGTGGCTTCATTTGACAGCAGAAATCGCCCACGATTAAAAGGGCAGAAATTAATTTCACAGTGAAGCTACAAGTGTCAGATTTCAAGCAAGTGTATGAGAACTTCTTGTTATGTGACTAAAGAAAAATCCTTCTAGGGCCTTTATTTCTCTTACATTAGATTTTACTGCTATCAATCTAATTTGCTGTAGGGCTGATGATGGGGAAACCCATGTTTGCTTGATTTCCTATAGGGATGGGCAGAATCTAGGCAATCGAAGGGGGTTCCAAGTGGCCTGAGAAAAACTCCATGTCATCTGTTTATATTTTATCACTTTTCACATTAAGGCTAAATAAATAAATAAATAAATAAATAAATAAAGTGTTGTTGTTTTTCTGAGTTACCACTGAAAAATTTCCCAACCAAGGTTTTGCTATAGAGAATGCTTTTATAGTGACCTTCCTTCCTACCCAAGATATAAACTCAACTAATATAGAAGCATGAAAAAATATGGAAGTATGACAGATTTAATGTAATTTTACCATGATGGTGTAGGCAGGCTTGATGGTAAAAGCACATGAGTGTGAATTAGTGAAAAAAATAAATTACACGTTAAAATAATGTTCTATCACATTAAAGAACAGAGAATTCTTCACTTATCCCATTTTAAAATAAGATTTTGAAAAAACAAAATACAAAACACCCTGCTCCTGTTGGTGACAACTACTTGTGGGTCCTGTGTCTTTAACGGAGTGGCTTCCCCAATGGAGCCTTAAAATATCCTACCACTGGCCCTGTTTTATGTCTAAACTTTATTTTATTTAAATATTGGACTTAGTACCATGCAGTAATTTGCATGCATCTATTAATTACCTATTACAGAACTCACAGCGCCCACAGTATGTAAATGAGGCACACATTTTGCAAGATTATGCACATAAAGATTCTCTTCTGGGTATTTTAACTAAGTTGTTCTTTAGGAGGGGGAAAAAAAGGTGCTTAGTAAGTGCTTAGAACATTGAGGGTGAATTTATAGACCAAATCTACTACTCCCTTATGCTTCATGTTATAAATAAAAAGTAATGAACATAATAGTGCCCCCAAATCAGATTTAATCCTTAAAGGATATTTTTATGTACAGAGAGATCTGTTGCATCACCTGATTAAGGTTCTAAAAACTAGACTGATAAAAACCAGACTTATATAGGCAAAGATTACAAAGGTATTGATTACATCTCAAGGTTTGGAATGAGGAACCTGGTTTGCAAAAAAGCAGTTTACAGAAGCAGAATTAAGCATGTTAATTA